GATTAAATTTTATTGGTCAACATTAAGCACATGATTATTGAAGATTATTCTGATTGCTTAATTTCCGAGGGGACAACTAACCGAGAGAGAAATGACATTAAACAACTATTCAGATTTGAACGGCCTAACTACAACCTGTAGCAACCATTACCAGGGCGCTATATTTCGAAAACGTACTAAAAACAAGGTTAGATATACTAAATAAAATGTTTAGAACCCCGAAAACCTTGTGTAATATAATCTTTGAACTACGTATTATATCTAACCCATGCCTTGGTCTCAAATTGCACCCTAACCCTAAACATATAATGGTGATAATCACTACTAGCGATTTTAATTATATTCTTTTGTTTAAATAGAAATAATTCAAATATGGCTATAGAATTTAAAAATTTACTAAAAAATAACCGATAATAACTATTATTTTTAAGCAACTCTATTATATTTATCAGTAATATTAAATTATAACAGTTAAAATTTAGAAAATTTGTACAATTTAGCATATGTTGATCTGCATAAAATTGGCGCAAAGTTTAGATCTGCTTTCTGTAAAAATAAATTAGTATTTTCATTACTTTTGAGATAGCAAAAAAATTCAATTTACCTTCCATTTCTTTCCGTGGAATGTGCTCGTATTTTAGTTTCATTGATCATCTCCCTATAAAAAAAGTTTGTTCAGCTATTGTAGGCATTGTCCGAAAAAATGTTCGGAATGGAGTCGATTTTCCGAGTGCCAGTACGATATTGTACAATTTTTATACTGTGAAGAAAAGAAATTTTTTGGTTGACAACATTAGGTATAAACATTGTACAAAATCAGTACAGTATACGGTATTTTCGGAAAATCAACTTTATTCCGAACATTTTTGTTTGAACAAAACAGAATAACTTTAGAAAATTTTTAGAACATTGCCGACAAAATTTGGACAAAATTTTTTATAGGGCTATATCGTAATCTTCCAGGTCTTTATGTGTCTTGAATATATCAAGCCAAATTTGGCGCATTTGATGACAAGTGACTTGGTGCACATATAGTCTAAAACTAAAACTAAACTGCATATACCATATAATTATCGTGCTTTTCAAATTACTGTGATCAGAAAGTTCATGTATCTCACTGGGAATCAGGAATCAGGAAAAATGCCAGTATATGATTGGTTAAAAATTATTGATTGATTTTTTAGCCAATCACATACTGACATTTTTTCTAGATTCCTGATTCCGGTTTGATATATGAAATTTGCTGATCACAGTACTGTAATTTGAAAAGCACGATAATTTTATTAAAACCTAAAAGGACTAAACTGATATCTTTCTAGTCGGATCCTATCATTTTCCCGACAAGTTAGCTCGCACTAGGTTTGGGATTTTGTTTGGTTGCCAGGAAAATGATAAAGACCCCTTTCTAGTTAATTATTTATTGTTTCATTTTAAATCTTATAATATTAAAATATAAAGTTACTAAGTAAATAAAAACAATAAAGTCAGATCTCTCTAAATGCATGGCCGAGGGGTGGCCAAAAAAAAAAAATCTTGCATTTAGAGGAATATTGCATTTAGAGAGGTAAAGTGTTATATGAGTTGGGGCTAAATAAGATCATGCATTTAGAGAGGTCTTTCATAGGCTATATATTTGGGAATATGTATGCATTTAGCGAGGTTTGACTGTAGTTATTTTATAAATTTTTAAATTTTTTATAAATAAAAATTTTTGAATTAATAAATTAGAATATTGATTATACTTATATTAAGTGTTAATGACAATAACATTCAATTGGATTAGAATACTATAAACACTGTCTTTCTATATAACCTTTGTAAAAATAAATTTTAATTCAATCCTGAGATCGTTGATAATTTTCGATTTGACAAACCACTATGCAGCATATTGGCTCACATGGATGCCCTATAGCTTCTGCCTTATAAAAAGCGAAAAATGAAAATAATGTACATATAAAAGATACAACTACTAAAGCGAAACCAGGACCAAAAGTTATAGATTCATTCCTATATATACCCGAGAAATATTTAAAAATTAATACATCTCCTATAATTGCAAATAAAATTGTAACTACACTAGAAAATAAAAAATAATTTATAAATGTCCTATACTTTATGCCATTATTGGCGTTAAAACAAATGAAAAGACCAATAATTGCCAGAAAAAATGATATAAGTAAACCTAAAATAATTTTTTAATAACTTATTAATAATAATTTTAACTTCGTTGTTAGAATAGTTCATAAAAGCAAATTTACCGATAGGATGCATAAACAGCAAGTATCCTGATTGATTAGAATAACTTCCAATTTTAAGTTGAATATCACCATCAATATCAGTATGAGAACAACCTAATGTGTTAGATGAATCAGACACACAAGTTCCGTATATTCCAATTGTAATGAAATAGGTAATTGACTCCGAAGAGACTATTGATAATGATTTATATATGATTGTGATCAAAGAAATCGGCCGAATAACTGGAGTACCCAAGTTTACCAGCAAAAGGGATATTAATGAGATAAATGAAAGAATTGTCGCGGTTATTCTCGCAGTATTACTTTCCATAATATTGGTGGTTTTGTTATAAAAGTCCCGACACAACTATTATCGTTATATAATTGAATTCGATAAACCAATTAGGGGAGATCTACATAGAGTTCGGATTTAGGATTAATCCGACTGCACGGATAACATACAAATTACAATATATATTACAGTACAGATTACAATACCCTTGATAGGAAACGAAACTCCGAACTAAGTTTTGTATGTTAGAAATAATTTAGAGGTTTGCTGATTCACACCTTTATGAGTGAGCATCCGTCACATGGTTCCAAAAAATATATCCTTTTCAGGAGCTCTTTTCAATCGTCACCAATACTGTATTTGCACGTAATAACACACAGAGGTGCAATTTTGAATTTCGGCCTAAATTAGGCTTAATTCTGGCCACTATTCGAAATAATGCGCATGTGCGTTATTACGCACAAATACGGCACAGTTACATAATTCCAACCTCTTTACCATTTGTTCGTATCGATATGCATATCAATCATACGATTAGTTATTCATATTTACACAAAAACAAACAATGTATTAGAAAATATTAAATGGATTCAAGCTTTAAAAACACAATTTTTTAAAATATTTTTACTGGACTTTGCTTTGCGACATTTGGTACATGATTCACTATTAGTTAATTGGTGTTGTTGGTTATGTTTATGTTATTATTTTATTTGCTATCCACACTTCGTATTTCGGTATCATTTGAAACTAATTAATGTCCCACAGTTTGTCAATAATTCAGCAGTCAAGGGTACAAAAATTATTTATTCAATATATTTGATTCCGTTTTTTTTTCTTTCTTTTCTTTTCTTTCTTTTTTTAAAATAATAATAAAATAAAATAAAGAAAAATAAGAGAGAGAAAGAATCTTTTTCTCAAAAAATTCAAAGCTCAAAATGAAAAAAAAAGCTCGAAACCTCTAAAATTTGCAAGGTTTTAGTTGGAAAATCATATAACCGCACCCTCGTTTGTTGGTTATGCAGGTGCTTTTTTTATTGTAACCAGTAAATGCGTTTTTCTTGGCAGGAAACCAAACTCCGAATTAAGTTCACCAATGTGTTACTTCTAGCAGAAATAACATTGAAATGTATAGTGAAATACACAAAATTTTGCCCTTTTCGTAATGTATAAGAACAGATAAAAAAACTCGAATAAGCCATGGTTATGACCATTTTTTAATTGAAATTTTCACCTGAAAGAGGCAAATACAAGTGGCCCTCGTTATAGTGAAGACATTTATTCCATGATAAATTTCTTTAAAAAATTTATCATAAGAGTCTATTAGTGAATTCACCATTATATCGAGTGGATTTCATTTAGACTGATTTATTTCAATATAATTACTGCAATTATATTAAGTTTTCACTGAGATGAGTCACATAGAATTTATAACGAGAGAAATGAGAAGAATAAGATATGACCTTCGTAGCGATGGTCATACAACACTATGTTTCATTATAGGTATGCTTTTTTTGGTTTAAAGACCGTTAATTTGACATAGCTAATTTAAAAATTCGATAAGATGTTGTTTTAGCGCTGGCGCATATGCTGAAGTGGATAATCATTGCGATCGGAGGAGTATTTATGGCAATCGGAGGACTATTTATGGCAATAGCAGCGTTATACGCTTATTTTGCTTTTATGATATGTTTCGTTGGTTTAATTTTTTACATTATTGCATTTCCTGTATGTATTATTCAGATATTATAATCGATTTTGTACGATATGCTATCTAACATATAAGAACTTTTGATTTCATAAATAGATGGAATATTTTTCACCGCCGAGTAGTTATGCATGTAAATCTCTTAGCTTTAATAACCATAATCCGATTGTACTAGACCTTAATCCAGATACGTTCTCAAATTTTCAATTGACATATGAGGGTAGATTCGATGTAAGCTATGAAGAATATATTATTATTACAGAGAGACCTCTCTAAGTGCACCCTCCATAAATGTACCACTATGTAAAATCTCTTAAATACACAGCATAGTCTGGTCCCTGCTTATCATAACATTATATATTTCGCTCTCTATAAATGCACACCCTCTCTAAGTGCATATTTTTGAAATTTTTTACTATAATTTCGAGGGGGTACATTTAAGATGGTTTCTCTGTATTATTATTATTATTATTTATTTTCGGAAAGCAAGCTTTTTAACATACTTATTTAATGATTATAGACTAAAGATCTTATTTTTAAAACCAATCCAAGTAATAACACCAATATTGTAATATCTTTTGTAATCGTTTCCATGGCTGATGGATCAGATTATTACTTGAAAGAAGAAGGAATGACACGAAAGCTCAATCTTGTATGTATTAAATTAACTTAAATATAAATTTTAAAGATTTTTTTAATAATTTATTGTATATAGATATCTGGTTCTAATTCATTTTGGCGGTCTGAACGGTGTGGAAGAGTCAAAATGGAAATATTACTTCCACCTTTCTTTGATAATCAACCAAATCGAACCATTAAATTTGACACGTCCACTTTTGAAGTTACAATGGCATTAGATAATTTACCCTACATTCCACATAACTTAAGGTTAATTTCACATGACTCATATATTACTTTGCAGGTAATTTTAGAATTTTAGACTTGTAATTTTTATTTTTTTAAAAAAAATTACAAAATTCAAAAAAAATTTTTTTAATTAAATTCAAGAATACTTCAATCCAATCTATGGAAATAATTACGTCCGGAATATCTCAAATGATTGGTGACGTGAAGGAGCTTAACAATACTTTTATCGTGAAAAGTTATGATGGTTATATTGGAATTAATGTTGCTGTCGGAAAAAATAATTCACAACCTTATATTGATTTAGAGTCTAAGAGCAGTTCAATGTCCTTGAATTTGGTGTGCAAAACAAAAATTTTATTTAACTTTGTACCTAATAAATTCATAATGCAAATAATTTATTCTAAATTTCTAAACAGAATGATACGTTCGCTGGCGAATACGAAATCTTTTCATACTCTGGTCGTGTAAGTGCTAGAAACGCTGACAATAATTTGGACTCAACTTATTCCGGAAATATTTTAAACGGAACAAAGAAGTCCACGAATTCTTCAATTCCATCTAATGGAATGATTATTGCCAAGTCTAACAGTGGAAATGTTTATGTAGATTTTCTTAACCCTACTTATACTAAAGTCTTCACTTCTTCTGCTCCAACTAATAGTCTCTCTTTTTATTGCTCTTTCTCTGTACTGCTCTCTCTTTGTGCTGCTCTCTTTCAGGTTTTTTTATATTAATTCATATGGAGTATTAATTATTCTTTCCTTTTTATGTATCTAATAACGAATTTAGTATCTAACCTTATTTTAGTGATTAGAAATGTGAATTATAAAGTATATTATAATTAATGGATATTTATTATTATTCAATTCTACAAGTGAAATTCCTAAAGATGCTTCGTGAAACTTGTTAATAAATAAATTCCTTATGTTTATTAATAATACAATTATATGGGCTAGGTGCTAGAAAAGGGTCCAAATTGACAATTTTTTCAAAAACCTTTTCTTAATTAATTAATTTAAAATTAGCCCAGGTAGTGTTGTTAGGCAAAACCTAGAGGTTTTGCCATTGGCAAAAGTCAAAACTAGTTTCGACTTTTGCCAAAAAAAA